CATAGGCGCCGAGCCTCTTTCTGTTTTCTTGATGAAGGCTTCTAATGCTATAAATTTCCCTCTTAGGACTGCCTTTGCAGTATCCCACAGGTTTTGATAATTTGTGTGTCTTCATTATAATTTTGTTTTGAAAATTTGATGATTTCCTTCTTAATCTCATTTTTGACCCAGCTATCATTCAGCTTAAGGTTACTTAGTTCCCATGACTTTGTTTGAGTGTGAAGATTTCTATTGCTGTTGACTTCAGTTTTTATTCCATGATGGTCTGAGAAGATGCAAGAAATTATTTCTATTCTTATAAATTTGTTGAGATTAGACTTGTATCCTAAGATATGCTCAAGTTTGGAAGATGATCCTGGGGCCAGTAAGAAGAATGTGTATTCAGTTTTATTAGGATGAAATGTTCTGTAATGTCTGTTAAGTCCATTTGTTCTACGGTCACGTTTAAGTCTATTATTTCTTTGTTTAGTTTCTTCTTGGAGGATCTTTCCAGAACTGACAGGTGTTTAAGATCTCCAGCTATTATAGTGCAGGAAGGTATCAAATTGTTCATATCCGTTAGGGTTTTCTTTATAATTTGAGGAGCTTTCAGGTAGGGTGCATAAATGTTAATTATTCAAATCTCCTTATGTTGAGTGTTTCCCTTGACAAATATGTAGTGTCCATTTTTGTCTTTCTTTATCTTCGTTGATTGAAATCCTATTGTATCTGCAAATAAAATTTTAACCCCTGCTTTTTTCTGATTTCCATTTGCCTGTATTATGGATGTCCATTTCTTTACCCTGAGTCTTTTTTATCCTTTGAGATAAGATAAGTCTTTTGTATGCAGAAGATACCTGGCCTGAGTTTTTGTATCCAGTCAGCCAACCTGTGCCTCTTTAGAAGACAATTTAAAGCATTCACATTAATTGAAAGAATTGATTGTGCAGTGCCTGTAGCCTAGTGAGTAGGGCACCGGCCCCGTATACTGAGGGTGGTAAGTTCAAACCTGGCCCTGGCCAAACTGCAACAACAACAATAACAACAAAAGAATTGATTGGTAGGATAGTGTTTTGGCTGTCATGTTTTTTATAGGTCCAGTGGATATTTTAATCCTTTCATTGTGGAAATTAGGTTTTATTTGGTAAATTCTGGGTAAGTTTAGTTTGGTGATATACCATTGTGCTTGTCATTATGGAAGATGGGTCTGATTATTTCCTGGAGAGCTGGTTTAGTTATGGCAAATTTCTTCAACTTGTGTATGTCAGTAAAATACTTGATTCTCCATCACAAATGAAATTCAGTTTATTGGATACAGGATCCTGGGCTGAAAGTTGTTTTGTTTTAGAAGATAGAAAGTTGATGCCCATCCTCTTCTGGCTTGAAAAGTTTTAGCTGAAAGATCTGCAGTCATTCTAATATTTCTCCTTTTCTAGGTAAAGCTTTTCTTATGTCTGGCTGCTTGCAGAATTTTCTCCTTCATATTAACTCCGGCAAAGTTAATTACAATGTGTACAGAAGAGGCTTTCTATGGGTTGAGTCTTTCTGTCTACTGTCTGAATATGTGTGTGGTATCTCTTGTAATGCTTGTGAAATTCTCCTCTGTAATATCTTGGAGTAGAGCATCTGTGCTTTTAGGGCCATCTTCTTCTCCTTCAGGAATTCCTGTAAGTCAGATGTTTGATCTTTTGGAATGATCCCACAACTCTCTCAGGGAATGATCTGTTTTTGCCTTCCATTTCTGTCTTCGAATGCTTGGAAATACTCAAAAGCCTTGTCTTCAATTTCAGAGATCCTTTTTTCTGCCTGCTTAACTCTATTACTGAGGGATTCTACTATATTTCAAAGCTCCTCGGATAACTTTTTCATGTCTTTGAGCATTGCTATCTCTTTTCTCATTGTGTCCATATCTTTGGTGATTTTGTCTTTGAATTCATTAATATCTCAAGATAACTTTTGAACAACTCCTTAGATTGCTATTTCCATCTTTTCCTCCATTCTATTCATTTTATTTGCTATACATACTCTGAATTCTATTTCTGACATTTTAGCCATTTGTCTATGAACGACATCTTCTTTTTTTTTTTTTTTTGAGACAGAGCCTCAAGCTGTCCCCCTGGGTAGAGTGCCATGGCATTACAGCTCACAGCAACCTCCAACTCCTGGGCTCAAGCGAGTCTCCTGCCTCCGCCTCCCAAATAGCTGGGACCACAGGCGCCCGCCACAACCCCGGCTATTTTTTGGTTGCAGCCGTCATTGTTGTTTGGCGGATCCGGGCTGGGGATTCGAACCTGCCACCTTAGGTGTACGTGGCTGGTGCCTTAGCCGGTTGAGCTGTAGGCGCTGAGCCGAAGGACATCTTCTGTTGTATCTCCTTTGTCATTCCTTAGGGGAGTTGATCTACTCTGATTATTCATGTTTTGAGAGTTCTTCTGCTGGTTCCATCCCATGATTATTTTCTGCAATTTGGTAAAACTGATAAAGTAAGATTGGATTGAGGGCCCCAGGAAATAGAGTTTACCAACCCTTTTCTAAGGAGCCAGGCTGGTGATTTTGGTTTTTTTCCTACAGTCTTAATAATGGTCCCTTTCAGAGCTGTAGCCAGAGACTCTCAGGACCTAATGGCTGTCTCTATCTTGTGGTCAGCCAGTCTCTCCCCAATCCTAAAGAGTTGCAGTATTAGGTTGAAATATCAGCTGGGGAGAGATGCAAACAACTGCGGCACTCTGCCCCCCCCCCCCCACAACAGCCGGAGGAGGAGAATTAGTTCCTCCTGCTACAAAATGACCACCGCTCAACCTTGGGTTGTTCCCAGGTGGACAACCCAGGTCAAGAGTTTCCCTCTTATTGTCCCGGGCAGTATAATCACTGCTCAATAGGGAGCATTCAGAGGGTCTCCAGTGACCCAGTAATAGGGATCCACACAAGGAAATGTACTGACGAGTCTGCCCCTGGGTGTGAGCACCTCCACACGCTTGCTGTGTAGTGTATCTCTCTCTCACAGGCATGTCCCTCCCCCCCCACCCCCCAACTTCCACTGGAGTGACTGCTTTCCAGTAGTCCACACAAGGCCCAGGCCTCTCAAGGAATTGCTACTCTGGGCTCTGCAGGGGGCAGGCCTTCAGACTGCCAGGTGAAGGGGGAAGGGTGGACTGGGAGTTCAGAATTGTGAGGAAAGTATTTGTTAGATTTTATGCCAGGCAAGATGATGCCTAGGCTCACAAGTGGGACCTCCCCGGAGAAGGGGGCCTGTTGTTTAGCAGCTCTCTCCCCTGGGGTAAAATAAGAGGTCTTTTGTTCCCAGCTCGCTTACAGAGAGCACACACTGAGCCCTTCTCTTGGGGGAGGGGTCTCTTGTCCTCTTGGCAATGGGCTTCGTACCTGGATTTTCTTTTCTTAGAGTCGCAGCTTGCCTCAGCGGAGATGCTGTGCACTTGACTGTCTTCTTTCTTAGCTCAGCTCCTCACCTTCAGCTTCTTTGAGTCCATTCTGCCCATTATCTCTCCCTCTGGACAGGAGCCTCTGTCAAAAGCTGCCTCTCGTCAGTCATCTTATTTCTGCCCATTTCTTTCTATTTTAAAATCCTTGCTTTTAGTCTGGTTATTTTGCTTACTTCCTCTGAATGGCTAGCTGAAAGTTTCAAATATTTATTGTCAATTTTCAATCAGGGAAAAAGGGAAGGTAAAAAATATACAGAGAAATTTGATACCTGGGTTTTCCAAATGCCAAATAAAGTGAAGAGTTAAACTCCAGTCCCCTGTAGAGTCCCAGAATCTGAGATAAGACACACTGGCTCTCTCCTCCATCCTTTATCCTGGAGAGTAACAGGTACTGTTGGTGTAATGGGGATACATTGGTACATTTTTAAACACATAACAAAAATCAGAAGCAGCCTCACACCAACTCTCCATTAGTTTCATTTTGTGTAGGACTATGATATTGATAGTTTTAAAAATTTAGGCTAATCTTCGGTTATGTCTATGTTAAGTGCCTAAGCCCTTCCCCTCCCTCCTCTCCCTCCACTCCCTCCCCTCCCAGAACAAAAGGCCTACCTTGCCCAAACCAAGAGTTCCACCAGAAGGACCTTAGCCCACCAAAGCCTTCCAGCAACCTGTGGGATCTCCCTCCCCCTATGCCCAGTGTAAAAACAAGCCCCAGCCACTCTCAGATAAGCCACTATCTTTGCCCAGGCAGGTCTCTGTCCCCTTCTTTGGCCTGAACCTCCCTTGCTCTCATTTATGGGTGCACTGCTGACCCCTTTTGGTCTACAAACACAGAGACCACATATTCCCTCATAAACAGAGCAAGTTTAGATTCTTCTTAAAAGAATCATTCACTAAGTAGATGGCTACTATTGTTAGTACTGTGTGGGATAAAAATGTTGCAAAAATATTTATTTGATGTCTTTCTCCTTAGATTTACTCCTGATGGGAAGTACTTGATTGTGGCCCAGCTGAATCTTAGCAGGCTTTCAATTGTCGCTGCACCCCCAGTGGGAAGCATTGGTGACTGCTCTGTGATCAGCACCATCCAACTAGCAGATCAAGTTTTGCCACATCTCTTAGAAGTTGATAGAAAGACTGGAGCAATCTACGTAGCAGAAATTGGAGCAAAACAAGTACAAAAATACACCCCTTTGAATAGCTACCTTTCTTCATTTGGTTCTTAGTGGGAATCAAACATTACAGATATTTCAGGTGACAGTTCTGAGTTTCAAATCCATTAAGTACTTGAAAATGATGTTTGAGTACAAGAAGTTGTTTTTCTTTACCTGATTTAGTATCAAAAAGATTTATTTTTATATCATTAAGTACCATAAATTTTGTTGCCATTCTTGGGACTTAGTTTTACTTATAAGTGCATAGAGATATTTTCATGAAAAGAATGTAACTTTTAAAAATTGGGTTGGAAAGAGTGATTTATGTTGTAACTTCATTGTTTTCCCTGGTAGACTAATTCTCCATGGGTAAAAATAAGAACAAAAACAAGTTTGCAGGATAATTTATTGAATTGAGAGGTTATAAGAAAGGTGAGCTATTGATTAATTTGAGTACCCACAGAGTGCTGGGTCCTCAGGATTCAGAAATGAAGACTCAGAGCTGTCTGCCTTTTGAGGAGCTTGCAGTCCAGGGGAGGGAGGTGGGGCAGGCGGCAGGAGCACAGCAGTGCCAGCATGCTAGTTCTGGGGGTCTTTTGCAAGGAGGAGCACCACGTCTGACTGAGAGGGTCATAGAGTCTTGGAGGAAAAATGAATTTCATAGCTGACAGCCAATGATGAGCTCGCTGTGGTCCAAGTAGAGAAGGGACAGAAAGTGGTGAACTTGCTGTAACCTTTGGTAGGCTTTGGGGCTGTTTTAAAAGTTCAACTTGGCTTTTATTCCTTAGCTGTAAGACCCTTAATGTCAGCCTTTAAAATCTAAGCACTTTACTGAAAGAGGTTTTTGCATAGAGTATTTTTAAAGGTAGAATTCAAAAGGGACCTCTCCTCAGTGTTCATTTCTTTTTTTTTTTTCTTTTTCTTATTTTAAACATGAACTTAATTCTTTCCTGATGCTTGTCTACCTCACAGAAGTTCCAGGAGAAATACTTACATGGGGATATGCCAAAAACTTGGAGCTTTTCAGAAAAGCAACTGATTTCCTGCCTCTCTCCTTCTGTATTTCATTTCCCCCCTTTGTTGTGAATATATTGGCTTTCCAGTCAAGATCTTTTTTTTTCAGTTTGCTTTAATTTATTCTAGGTTTTGATGGAAGCTTGCCATGTTACTTGCTCTTTCAAATCATTCTTCCCCCTCCCTCGTGTAGCTTCCCTCTTTCCCATGTGTTACTGTAAATTCTCTAGCATACAATAAACCTGGAGCTGACCTTGCTCGTTGGTGCCGGTAATCAGACTCTGTGACCTTGAATGAGTCACCTTAGTCTTCTGTTCAGTAAGAGAGAAACATTACTGCCTTTCCTCCCTCCTGAGGCTGTGAGGATCAGATGTGGGACAGAGACACACCCTTGGATATCTATAGCTCTGGGTGAGTTAGAGGCATTTTATTAACAAAGGTTCCAGATATGCAGTTTACCTGACACCAGCTGCAAGGTTCGCCTTAATTTTGTGTTCGTATCCTCTTATCAAAACATTTTCTAATGGACTTTTTGCAGTTTACCCACTATCGGCAACTGATGGGAATGGAAGAAGGTAATTTTAGGGTGGTTTGATTTGTTTTTGAGCGAGGACAAGAAGTGCAAATGCCTCTTTGTTGGAATTTAGGTTAGGTCAACTGAGTTTATCATTTCTGAAATGTTTTATTTAACTTTGTTTTATACCAGATTTTTATAAGCCTTATTGCAAATAGTATTTCTGTGTATCTTGCTAAAATTTGTGTTTATTGTATTAGCATACTTGCAATCATGGAATTTCACTTTTTTCTTTTGATTAGTAGGTAAAATGAATGATAAATGTATTTTCTGCTAAAAAATACAAATTAAATTTTTGTATTAAAAAGGCAGTATTAGCTGGCTCTCCAATTAAACTTTGATTTTAATGTCATAAAAGCAATTTATAACTTTTTATTCCACTAAAGATTTACAACAGTCATGAAATCACAAGTTGGTGCTTTAAGAATGTCTGCCTTTTCATACACAAATAGGTTGTACAATGATGTGCCATAAATATTGCCAGAAGTTGCTCGGAAAATTTAAGGAATGCAGCATCTTTTGAGGTGATTGGTTGACACAACTGATGGTACTAACTAGCTGACTGTCTATATTCTGCATTAGAAGTGGGACCTTTTTATACATTAGAAAACCAAAGCTGTAGGTATCTTCCGATTGGGTATTTAAATGGAATGTTTGCCAACCACAGAAAGCTTGTATGTAGTCTGATGGCAAGAAAAGATTTACCCCAAATTATTACGCACACCTGTGCTTAGGTCACTGAACACTGTGCTCCCAGCCTCCAGCCTGCAGACCATTACTGGTTTGGTTCATGACCTGTTAGGGAGTGGGCTGCACAGCAAGAGGTGAGCAGCGAGTGCGCAAGCTTCCTCTGTTCAAGCCTCTTCTGATCTCTCACATCACCAGCTGAGTGCCGCCACCCGTCACCCTGTCACATTAGCAGCGGCATTAGATTCTTACAGGAGTACAAACTCTGTAAGGTCTAGGTTGCACATTCCTTATGAGAATCCAATCCATTCTTGAGATACTTTACTAAGAAGAGTATGTTCCAGATGTGTTACTTAGTTCAATGTAAGCATTTCACATTGTATATCAGAGCAGTACACTGAACCCCATAGGTGCATCAATATACAAAGTTATGATTTAATAACAACAACAAAAAAAGAATCCAATCCCCCCATTGTCTTCCATGAAACTGGTCCCCCGTGCCCAAGAGGTTGGGGATGGCTGCCTTAACACATTAAAATAGACTATTTCAAGCAATGTGGCTATAAGGCTAAGACATTAAGGTTCTAACTTTTGTTTTGCCTTTGCGGGTTTTAAACGTTCTTGGATTTGAAAGCAAGATAGATTGGATAGCTAACATTAAATTAGGAACTTTCAGATTTTTGCTTTTTAGGCTCACCAAAATAAATAGGAATCATTAAAGAAGTCTCCTAAATTTATATGATTTTAAATTGTTTTATTCACTGCTATATATTTTTAACAGTAATAATATTTTTAAGTCATTTATTCATTAAACAAAAAGTTATGAGACAACAAATGCATGGAGCACTTAGACAAGCGTCCTCTTCTCTCCTTGTTCCCTCACAAGCTACCTAAACCATTTTAGGCGATCCCGTTTGGAATGTGTTGTTTTAACATTCTTGATACAAGAGAGGGCAGTAGAGTTCTGCTTTTGATAAACATTTCTTGAAATCAAATGTAGACAAATGTTGATGTGCTTTATACTTAAACTTTTATTTTTTAATTGAAGCTGTGGTGCTAACCATACTTTAATTTTTTCTCTTTTTCTGAAGCTTGCGTACATCTTGAGGAAATCAGTTTATAGGTGACACATTGCCCAAGGGTTGTTGGAAATTTTTACTGCTTAATTGGACTTTGCCAGTTTAAAAAGAAAAGTTTAAACTTTTTCGGTAATTCAAACTAGTAGCCAGAAGTGAATTAACTCATTTTAAACAAAGGTGAAACTATATCTGAATATGTGAGTTTAATACATATTCCCTCTACTCCATTATTTCTCTTCATTGTCTTAGTTCTGCAGGAGAGCACAACAAGGCTCGGTGCCTGTAGCTCAGTGGCTAGTGCGCCAGCCACATACACTGAGGCTGGCGCGTTCTAATCCAGCCTGGGCCTGCCAGACAGTGACAACTACAACCAAAAAATAGCTGGGCATTGTGGCGGGCACCTATAGTCCCAGCTACTTGGGAGGCTGAGGCAAGAGAATCGCTTAAGCCCAAGAGTTGGAGGTTGCTGTGAGCTGTGACTTCACAGCACTTACCGAGGGTGACAAAGTAAGACTGTGTCTCAAAAAAAAAGCACAATAATTGTGTTCACTTCACTACATGATCACCCTCTGAAGGCTCTAGAATTATTTCAAACACTGTGTTATTTTAGTCACCCAGTTTTGGATTAAACAGGTTTTCGGATTCTGTCTTAAAACATAGTGTGCAAAAGGAAAACTCTGATACATAGCTTGGGACCCACAGTTAGGTCAGTCTGGGTTCTGGCGCAAGCCCTGCCACTAACTTGTGTTGCTTTAAGCTGTTTTGCCTCATTTTTCCTCATTTGTGAAACGGGAATACTAGTATTAATATATTTTCCACGTGGGATTATTGTGAATACAAATAGGGTCATACATGTAGAATTTAAGCCCTTTCTCTGATAGTACAGCAAGCACTCAACAAACCTTAGTAGATTTACTGGGAGTATTTAAGCCAGACATGCACAGCATGCCACCTTGGAGCAATGTCATGGACTGGAAGAATGAGGAGACTAGATGGCCTTCTCCATGCTTTAATTCAGTGTTTAGTTACAGTATTGAAAACTAAAGGTATGGGTTGTAATACACTGTAATACATTTCTTTCCTTTAGAAATGCCATTTTAGAAAACACAGAGACATGTACTTTGAGTTGGTATTAACACTTCTCATCCAACGATGACTACATGTCAGTGTCAGGAATACAGAAGTGAACAAGGTACAGACTCTTCCTTTTCTAGAATTTCCATTCTAGTTGAGAGAACAATTTGGAAGGAAAGGGGGATTTTGATTGAAACGTATAGTCTACACCAACATTTAGTTGGCCAAACTAACGCCGGTTCCCAGCTGCCTCCTCCCTTCCCTCCTCCGACTGTAGGCTGGGAGAGCTCGGTGCTGCTTCCTCAGCCTGCCAGGTAGCATCTGCAGGTATTTGTGTGACCTATTTCTGGCCTGTGCAGCATAAATGGAAGTTTACTGGTAGGCTCCTGGAAAAACATCTTTTTCAATTGTTAAAAATAGCCCCAGATTTATCTAGCACCACCTGCTTCTTTCCTGCCTTGGACTTGAAGGTGCTGCCTGAAGTTGCCAGTATTCTTAAGACAGAAGGGTAGGAGGAGCCTGGGGGTGTGTGGCGCTGTACAACACTGCATTGCCCTTGTGTTTCCTTTCTCCAGATGTCTTTTTATCAGAGATAATTAAATGTTTTTGTGATTTAAGCCAAAATATTCACTATTAGTTGAATGTCTTCTTTCAAGTGAAAGCATTCCTAAGAAATATGATATTGAATTAAACTGCATCAATTTAGGAAGAATGGGAATTTTTGTGGTTATAAAATTCTGTGTCCAGGAATGTGTCACTCTATAATGTCATATGTCTTTTAATGAGACCTTACAGTTTTTTTTTCAATTTATATCCTGTGTCTTTGTCTTGTGACAAATGTGGATTCCTGTGTTAAATTTATGCTTTGCATTTATTAGTTGTAGTCACTATAACTAACAGGATTTTTTCCCAGTTCTGGCTAGTTATTGATGGTATAGAGAAAAAGTATCAGATCTTTATGTCTACATAATCTCAACTATTCACTCTTAATTATTAATTACTAATTTTAATCAGCTATTATGATACTTGGATTTTCTAGGTAGACTACTTTGATAATGAAGATAATTATGCATCTTTTAATATTTGTACATTTATTTGATTTTTAAAATTTTATTACATTGGCTACAAAACTGTTGAATGGTAGTGGCAATAGGAAATATCTTTATCTCATTTGGGGTTTTAATGAAAATGCCAGTACTTTACTAATTAATATGATGTTTGCTATCATTTGGGGTAATTTTCATATTTATCTCTTGGATTTTTAATAATAATTTTCTAACATGGCTTTTGGTATTGATGTAGACAATATGTTGATGTAATGAATTTTGTTAGAAATTTTTATTTTTATTATTGGCAAAAACTTAGTCATCATGTCTTGCTTGAGACTAATTTTATTCTTGAAACAAAGAGAGCAGTAGAGTTCTGTTAATTTACAGTCTGTTAGATATGTTCTATCCATCTCCATAGGAATTTGATTTTCCTTATCATAAAATACTTAGACTCTATTAAAATAATATCAAAAATTGAATGGGGGGAGAAATTACATTTATTATAAACCTGGATTAATAATAGTTATAGCAATTAAGCATCAGGTTCATTCTGATTTTTCTTATAATTGTAACGAAGAAAATATAAATAATTTCCAATATAAGGAAATAGATCCATTTTTTAGAAAGCATAAACTTCTGTTACCATTACATGGGTCCTAATGGATGAAGCAAAGCAACATAGCTTCCATAAAAATTTAATATAGCATGAAGAAACTTATATTGTATGTTGAAAATCAAGGACAATGTAAGAAGAGTGTGAGCTTTGGTGCAACATCACTGACTGAACGAATGCATAGTCTTTAGCACAGTCCAGTAGAAGTGGTGAAGTAAATTCTGTATCTCTGCTCTCCACTAGGATAACCCCTAGCTCAAGGGGTTATTGTGTACTTGAAATGTAGTTTGCGTGTCTGAATTTTCTACTATATTTTTATATATTTAAACTGTCCAATGTGGTTATTGGCTACTGTATTAGCATAGCAGGTGAATCTAAATTTTCATAATAATGACAAAAAATTTGTTTTCACTAAATTTCCTAGTTCATTTGTGTAACTTGCCTCTGCCAGCTCCTTCAGGACATGTATTATCCAGTGTGACCTTCCTGCTTAGAAGTTTGGAGTTACAGGCCATGCGTGGCGGCTTATGCCTGTCAATTCTAGCACTCTGGGAGACTGAGCTCAGGAGTTGGAGACCAGCCTAAGCAGGAGCAGGACTCCGTCTCTGTAGCCGGCTTTGTGGAATGCACCTATAGTCCCAGCT